TTACGGAAAAAGTAAATTGAAAAATGGGATGTGGATTTGGAAAGAGACAAGTTGTTTAGACAGATTCCTCACATTTCTTTTTGGCATTGTTCCCAACCAAGAATACAGAAAGTAAGCTGGCAGCAAACAACAGCCAGGAAGACAGTGAACAGACCGGACTACATCCTTGCTAACACTGAAATGTCTTTGAATACTTTCTATTCTTCAATTGACAAGTTGAAAAAATAATTAAAAAAAAAAAAATCACAACTAGCATGATGTTTGACTCAGTTTTAGTTTTGGAGAAAATATTCCACCAACTTTGCCTATAAACTCTGAATTAAACAGAGGGACATTTGGACTGGCAATTTGGTGCCTTTATGTTTAACACAGAGTAACTCTAGGCATACTACGTTCAGAAAAAAAATCAGTCTCTTGTAATATTTATAACCCATGCCAAGTGACAGAAAAAGAATCACCTTAATAAGCAATTAGCCTTCTGAACAGCATTCAGCTAACTGCAATGCCATTATACACAGAAAAATGTTTTCCAAGATTCAATAATCCTATGTTAATGCAATGCAGTTCAGAAGAATGAACTTCAGTGTTCCAGGAATTACATAGATGTAAATTGGTTAGTAACTCAAGAATAGGACTCTACAGAAACATTTAACTGAAATTATGATGTTAGGAAAAAAAATGTCCCTCCTTTCCAAAACAAATAAATTCACTTGAACAGTATAACAAGTGGAATCATTAACTTCTCAGGCAAGCAACAAAACAGCAAGACAGCATCTAAAGTTAATGAGAAAATGTAATTATGATTCTACTTATTTATTAGATTTGACCCATGGTTTTACCAGAGTAGTAGTGAGATACACAATTTTAGCACAAATGCTCTTTAGCTGATTCAGATATTAGGCAAACTGCTTTCGCTGCCCAAGCACATTTATATTTAGTGCATGTAGGAGGAGCAAGCAAGGCTTTATGCAACACTACCTTAGTTGAATTCCACTAGTGTTGTGATGCAACAGGAATTACAGATTGGTTATATTTTCTACTTGAAACCCTGGTTTGAAGGGCTTACGTGTTCCTTTGCTTTAAAAAAACCCCAAAAGTCTGAAATTTGATGCATAGATTTCTAGCCTGAAGGAAACTGATATGCCTAAAGAGAGGAAAAAATTAAGGTAGTTTAATATTTTTCAATTATTACACTGGTCAAACTAATTCTAATGTTTTTCATTTACTATTATGTAGAGAAACAAATAACTTGATTTAAAACACACAATATATTTCCATAAGTAAACAATATTTTTTTGCTACATCATAATTTTCACAATAGCAAAATAAATAATCTGAAATACTTTAGATGAGTGTATCTTGACCCTGTCAATGGTAGCAAAACACGTGCCTGGTTTTATATAACCACCTGAAGTAGAACAGCTGCATTTGTGGAACATGTTTGTATAAACAATGAAAAGAGTTTAGCACACTTGCACCTGCAGAGTTGCTAAAATACAACAGATAAGTGTTTTGTGTATTAAAAGTGTCTCAGTCAACAAACCTAACTTAGACCTAATCTTTAAATTGCAATACATTCAATTTTGTTCCTCTGCTTTATGTCAAATAACTTTATCAACTTGATTTTCTGAAATCTGAATCACGTCTTAATGCTTGCATTAATCATACTCAGATTTAGGCCTCTTATATTTGCAGTTTCTCACGCTTATATAAACATAAAAGTGTTAGAAACTGGGTTCACTAGCCATTTGTACTAGCTAGATTATGTAGTACTTTTGGAAAACTGGAAATAAATGTTTTAGAATGCAAAGCTATGATGCCATTTTAATCAAAGGTAATTTTTGTATGGATTTTGGATTAGGAAAAAAAAAAATTCAAGCTTTATGGCCCTGTCCCACACCCCTTTGCATCTGAAAGATACTGCTTGGAGTAAAGCAAGCAGGTTTTGCCAGTGTCTATGATCAAATCAGTATCCTAAAATGTCTTACAAACAGGTCAATTTTAATAAAATATTGTGTCTGCAACATTGTATGTGTACCAAAAAAAAAAAAGAGATAAGATATTCTCAAAGCAAAAATTGTTAATAAGGCAATACCATTATGCTTCTAATTAGAAGTTACATGTGAAACACAAGTACACAGTTTAAAATCCTTGGGAAAAAATGACTGCTGAAATTAATTCCTCAAACTCAGGATACTTAAAAAATAAAATTTATTTCTCAAAAATAAATATCAAGGCAATAATCTCTAAAACAGTTGGAAAAATAAAAAGTTTGTCATTTGTGTAAGTGCAAATAACCACATTCATTATTTACAAATACAATGTTAAAATTGCCTCTTTGAATACACAATTACATTGACAGCAGCAGCATTCCTGGGTTGCTGCTTGTCCAGCTGGCAACATTCCTTCCTTCACAATTCTTGCCCCTGAAAACAAAATATCTGTCATCAGAACCTTCCTTTAAACTTCTGCACTCAATTTACTAAATCCCTTTGTATCAAGATGTTACTTTTCATTATTAAGATTTACCTTACAAATATAAGAAAACTAGCTGCAGGTCTCAAGTCCATAGCTTCTTTCTCAAATTCTGTCCCCTGACTGAAGTTAATGCATTTTTGTTCACTGTTCTAGTAACTGAAGTGCATTTGCTTTCAAAATTACCATAATTTACAATTTTTTCAACATATATTAAGTGCTAGCAGATATGTAGGATATTTTGAGAAGAAATCTTCATATGCAAATCCCTGTAAAAATTTTATCCAGTTTAAACGAATACTGTCTTGTGAAATAACTCCTCTGTGTAAGGCTGAAGGTTTCACATTGAACTATGCTATTGTGTTTAAGTTCCTAAAAACTTAAGTTTCTAATAATTCAGGAAGTGTTTGTAAAAACCCTATCAACGGTGTCAAGGTATAAAGTATCAAGAGGAAAAAAGTCTATGATTGCTACCAATATAAAGTAAGGAAAATCTTATCAACATTAATGTAATTGTTCTGGATTTTCTACAGTATACAGAAATAAATGCAGCCAAGCACAGTATGTTTGGGGTTTGGGTTTTTTTTGTTCATTTCTAGAGGTATAGCTTCCCCTGCCTCTCTCCTCCTTTAAAAAGCAGGCTTACATGCTGGACCTAATTGACAATTCATTTATAGAAAAAAAACAACAGGAGTATTAGGCGATGAACAAAATGGTCTCTCTAGCACATGATCCACAGCAGCTATGTTTACATTAGCCAGTACTGCGGCACAACAGAGGCCATATCAGCCACTAGTATTTCATAACGTCACATAATACTATGGCTCTTGTTAATTATAAATATAAAAATGATTGTTGTATCTATTCACGTTTAGCTAAGTGCTTATTCTTTATGATGAATGCTATAAATAGAGTACAGAGACATCTGTAAGTAGCATATAATAAGCTTACAGCTAATGAATGAAATATTACAATTTTTTTACTATGTATACTTTTACAAAAACTTTAAAATTACTCTTTTTATTTTTAATCAATCTTTGTAAGCACTAATTTTTTCTTACTAAACTTATCATTTTAAACACAACTTTATTTCTCATTTCAGTAAAGAACTGTCCCCACAAAACATTAACTTGCTGTAAGTCAAATCTGGGTTTTCAGGTTGTTTTTGTTTGTTTTTTAATAAGAGGAAGTTACTTCAAATTTCCCAGAAAAATGAAAAAGACATTCTGAATGTTCAGCAAGATGTTTCCACTTCCTTTATTTGGAATAATTACAATTTCTAATGGTAGCAGAGTGCTGTATTGTTAGATCTTCACTGCAGATTAAAGCAGAGTAAGAACAAAGAATGATTCAACTGAAAAATCTGTGACCTGGTTATTTCATGAGTTCCAAAAGGGCAGAGTGGACCAGAACCGAAATCAACCCTTGCTAACAACTTCCGTGAACTAACTTATTTCCTGTAATAAGCAGGGAAGGTAGCATATTAAGGGGAAAAACAATGAGACAGACTATACCCCTGGGCAAAATGCACACACCCCCACTCTCTCTCTCTCTCACCACCCTCCCCCCCGGCGTCTTCACAGATAGATTAGGAAACTGAGTTTTTACAAATAGGACAGAAAGTTCCTGTAGAAGATTGGTCAGTCAGTCTGCAATGTGTTACTAATGGAGAAAGTCTTTTCTCACATCATGCTAATATACACAGTTTTTAAACAAAGAAGCAATCATATAGTCTATGTGGAACCAGACCCTCTCTGGAATATATTTCATATTTTATGCAGAATGCTCCCGAAATCCAGTGGTTTATCTGCTTAGCTATGATGAAAATAAACTTGAAATTTCATTTCCTTCATCCCAAGTCTCTAAAGGAACATGACTGGAGTAGGTCTACTTCCAAAGACTTTCTTGTACCACTCTTGGGCCTCTCCGTATATAGCATTCCATAGCAAAAACAATAACAAGGCAATTTGCCTGGAAAGGAAGGGTCTAGTCAGCAGTTGTATAGAGACTAGCTGGGAAATCCTTTCTTTCAGAATCATCTCCAAAGGCTTAGGAAAAGCTGGAAATATGTTAATGATGTGTGTGAAGGGTTGCAGCAGGCACTGTCCTGTTCTCAACTGTCTTAACCTTTAACGGAAATCAAGATGGAAAAGCTGAGTTTCACTGCTTTAGTTTGCAGTGAAAGAACCTTCACATTCAGCTGTGGCACAGCCAAGCTCCCATGATTGAAAGTACAAATCAAATGCCTTTGGTGACTACACAAAAAGAAGACTCTCCAATGTCTTCCCCTAGGGAAAAAAACAACCCACAAATGCAACATATCAAAATGGCAGGAGCCATTTCAATTTTGCTGTTTATCTCTAGCTGGCAAGCATCTTTCAATGAACTTATTTCTGCAGAAAGCCTGTTTATCTCAGATTGCATTTGTACTTGTAGTTACTGATTCATACCCCAAACCAAAGATTTGTATCATTCATAAAATAAAATTATCTATCTTCTCTACTCTATCTGTATGCTCCCATTCACTATGCCAAAAAATTCTCTGTGTTCCTATACGCATGCCAGATCTCAGTGCTCTTTGATGCAATTATTTTCACAAGATAGATACCTAAGCTCTCATCATACAGCGTATTGTTCCATTTCATTTCAAGGAAGACCACAGCTATAGCCAGAACATCAAGTTGCTAAAGATAATCAATACTCAAATTTTTTTACAAAGCAGACAATTAAATGTGACATTAAATTTGTAATTTTAAAATCATTAAACTGGTTTAACTTTAAGGGATAAGATTCAGCAAACACGAGGATATACAATACAATTACTTGGGCAGAAGTAACGACACTTATTCAAAGAGACACCATATCGTTCCTTCTAGGCAGTTACGGTAACGGCATTAAAAACTGATAATTTGTTGTGTATCTGAAGAACATTTTACCTTTTCAATAGCTTCTAGGCTCTGTTCTTTTCTTTCATTTTTTTTCTTCAGCTGATTTATTTCTTGATCTCTCTGGAGCAATTCAAATTCTTTTTCACGAAGCTCATTTTTAGAACACTGGAGTTTCTTCTGTAAACTCTCAATCTGAACAGAAAACGCAATCAGAACAGATATTTTACCGAAATCAAGACAATTTGAAAAAAACATAAAACACCCCAAACAAAACTCTCAAATACCATCAGTATTACCTCTGACTTTAGATTCCCTTGTCTTTTTTTATTTTTATTTTGTCAACATTTTCCTTTATTTAAAAGAGCAGTTTGGGAGCTATATTATATCAAATAAAAAAAAAAATAAATTCATTTTTATCCAGTTATTTCTCTGAAAAATTTTTAGTTTTAGTTGACAAACATAAAATATTTTTGCTGGTACGCTATTAAGGTACTCCCTTCCCTCTCCCTACAATAAGGATCCAGTTTTACTCTTCTAGATTAAACTTGGTCAGCTATCGTGTCCTAGGACCAGACTTTCTCATAGAATTAGCTGCCCTTTGTTAGGGAAACTGAGTTTTTAATTTAAACAAGAATTACCTGTTTATTGCATTCCTTAATTTCTAACTCTGATTTCTCTAAATTGCACTCTAATCGAATTATTTGTTGTTCCATTTCTCCTCTATGTTCACGAACTGTCATATCCAACTGTGTAATCTAGAGATTAAAAAAGAAGAAATGGAAATATTTTATTTTCAACTAGTATGCAGATTTTTAAAAGTAGTATTACAAAATATGACAGCAAGAAGAATGAAACTAAACCTTTGCAGTCTCATGAATATTCTCTCAAGCAGTCAATATAAAAATGCACCTTAGCTATCTTGTTTAAAAAACTGGGGCCAAAGACAAGAGAAAAAGGAAAAATGAGGAAAAAGTTCATAACTCAATATGTTTGGTCCTCAGATGCACAGAATACAAACCTACTTCTCATTCTAAATGGAATGTAATAAGTAGCTTAGTATACTAATAAATCTTGTTAGAAAGTGCCCAATTTTGCCAAAGTCAAAAAAATCCTATTTCTTTTATGAATTCCCAGAGCAGCTCATCACAGAGTACTGCAGAAAGAATATATTGGAAGGTCTGTCCTCCTTACAGTGTCAGTTCCTTGACCAGATTTTATTTATTTTTTTTTTTTAATCCCCACTCCTCCTTCTCTCTGCACCTCAAATATTCTTGGATACAAAGGCTGGTAACTCCTGTAGGAAGTAGCTATTAGAAGGCTAATTATAAGTGACAGAAGAACTTTCCATGATGGGTAACAAATCCTAAAGCCAGACCAAAAGACTGAAAATATTTCAACTGAGCTACAAAAATTTTTTCACAACAAAGACATTGTTTCATATGTAGAGGCTGCTTTAGAGCTAATCAGATATGCTCCAGTGCAAACAAGGAAAGGAATCTATCATCTCCAGGCATACTTCAGTGCAGATCTTTCCTTTGTTTTATCAAACATCAAGATGACAACCATTGTCCTACAACTTTATCACTAGGGAATAATTATAAGACAGGTTTGCATGAACAGGCTTCTGTTCTATGCCAACAGTAGTCTGTGGTCCCTTACAGGAGCACAACCTGATTGTCTTGGTACCATAAGGCTTTTGAGGTTGACACTGTGGCTATATTAACAGTACAGTTTGGAACGACTCGTGAAGGGTATTAAAACCTAGTGATCAGTAGCATACTTAAAGTGAGCTGACCTGAGCTGCTCTTTGTTTCAGTTCCCAATTCCTTTCTTTCAATGCTTGGTCCATGTCAAGGAGTTCTTGTGTTTTCTCTTCAATTTCTCCCTTGCAATACCTGAAATTCTCATGTTTAGTTGCTTAATGCACATTCAGTTGCTTAGCTTCAAGTATCCAGCTTGAAAATCATGAGATCTATTACTTACTTAAAAAACGTGAATCAACTAATTGATTGCAAAGAAAACAAACTCAAATGGAATAATTCTGAACTATATTCCAGGTGGTAATTTCCCAATAACTTTGTTACTCAAGTTATTTAATTGGGTTATCAGGACAATATATTCTTAAAAAAGAAGAAAGTATCTACTACAGAAGAAAGTATCATTAATTTATGGTCAGAAAGGAAACTGGATGATTTTACTATAGAAGAAACTAATTCCTCTTACAATTACTTCAGAAAATAATTTTAGCAGATTTTAAAACAGAATTGTCAAAAAAGAATTCACCACCACTTTTAGAAATTAAAAGTGAGCTGAGGAGCTACTGTATCAAGTTATCTTACAGCCACAAACCACCTAAAAATTATAGAGCTGATAAGAAGGTTAAAAAAAGACCATCCAAACTACTTGCTACTCCTAAGGAAAAACTAACAAAACTAAGTTTTCATGATGGAAAAGATACCAGCTTACCTGAGCTCAGTTGTTAGATCCATGATAGCAACATGCTTCTCCTCCAGAGAGGACTGCGCATTCTGTAACGCATCTTGCGATTCCTGAAGCTGTGTTAAAGTGATTTTTAATTCTCCATGGGCATTCTGTAACGCGGATTCTAGTTCTACTATTTTCTGTAAGGCTTCCCTGTGGCAAGTCTCACTTTGAAGCAGCTTATCTTCTAAATCATTCACTATTTTACACACACACACAACACAAAACACAAAACGTTTAATCATCAGTAAGTCAGGGTCTTTAATGCAACACCACTGCCTGCTAGCACTTGTGGTCATAACCAATTTTCAGTATCGCTATTTTTAGGAAAATCTAGAAAAACAATGACTTCTGAGATTACACAACAACCTTGTCATGGCACAAGACTTTGGTGTCTTTATTCAGCTCATAATCTATAACTGACTTGAAATATGAGGATGTATCTAAAAACATTTGGCCAAGGAGAAAGTACAAAGACAACATAATAACTGGACAAGTATGCTATGGAAAATGGAAGCAGAATTGCTAGGAAGTCTCTGGTTTAAAAAAAAATTGTAAAATTAAATGGAGGAGGAGGGGTTGGAAAGTTTTTATTTCCATAGACTCTCTTGTGGGGTTTTCTGTTTGTTTTTAAGAGCTGAATTTCTTTAAATAGCATATGCCTTTTTAAAATCCGTGTGTCATGTCTGATTACCACATTAAGAATCTGCATTACCAATTTACAGGGAAAACTATTCATTCATTTCACCTGGGGTCAAGGTGCATCCCACAGAAGTGAGTATTTGCAAAGATACACTAAAAAAAGTTAGTGTTTTTTTTGAGGGGAGTGTTGCTTGGTTGCAGTGAGGGGAGGTAGGTTTTTTTTCTGTTGTGGGTTTTTTTTTCTTTTCTTTCTTTTAAAAGCTACAGAATTACCAATACATTTTGGGGGCAGGGGAAGAATAATTCCTCCATCAAAATTATCATATTTTCACTCTCATGTACTTGATTATAAAACAACAGGGGGAAAAGGAAAAATGTCTAATCTAATACATACAGAGAAATAGCACGATGAAAGGAAGCCTGAGAAACAAAATAGTGACATTACCCTCATTTGCTTTTTCATTGAGCTCTGATCGTGCTTCTTCCAAAGTAATATCCAACTGATTTATCTGCATTGCTTTGTCTTCACCATCTCGTTTTAATTGCACTACTTCTTTTTCCGTACCAGTAAGTTCATTCTTGCACCGATCCATCTCCAATTTCATTTGCCTAAATAGAAGAAACCAGAAAAAAAACCACCTTGTAAATACAAAACCAACGCATATATGTCCTTACATGCTCTACGACAAGCATTTGTGAATAAAATAGTAATAAAAAAGTCATATTAAGTAGGCTTTTCTTGCAGTCAAAACCTATTGTTTAAGACTACCAAGCCCTCCTAGAATCTACTATCTAGAATTGCAAGCAACTTGATGTATTTTTTAATTGAACTGCATTATGAAGTGCCATCTTAAGGCTAGCTGGGCTGCTGAGACATGCATTAATTCCATTGGAAAGCTGTTCCAGAAACTCATGCCTCTGCTAGTTAGAAACTTCCCTTCTGATTTTCAGTCTATGCTTATATGGAGACTGAATTGTATAACTACATAGCTGAATATCAAACAGCAATCTTTCTTATTGATACGTCTATGTGCAGAAATATACCTCTAAGTTACTCTAAACCTACCTGATTGTACTATTAAGTTCATCCACCTTCTGTCTGTTTAAAACTGCTTCTTGAGCAGCTAGGCGAAGTTTCTCCTCTACGTTTCTCAACTCATCTTCCGCATATGCTTTCTGCTTCTGAAGCTCTTGTTCCAAATTGGATACCTATTTAAAATGGTATTTTAAAAAGTGTCGGTACTTTTAAATTATATATCAAAGAAATGCACATCTTTGTCTTGCAACTCACATAGTGAGTTTTAACACAACAGATTTCTTTATCATTTAAAATTTTATATAATTTAAGACTAGAACTTTGCAGTCACATTTGAAAGACAAATAGTTTCTAGTAAATATAACAAGATTCAACTTTCTCAATTTCAATACACCTCTCTTTAATTGCAGTCTACGGTTTGATTTTCCAAGTACTTAGCCGCTCTAAAGCTACCTAGAGTTTCTAGTAGCACAGAATCTGGTTTTAGACAAAATGAAACAATAAAATATTTATTTTAGATATATCTAAAATATATTAGATATATTTTAGA